TGTAAACCTAAAACTATAAATAGGGTGCCTTGCTTTGTATTCTACATCACAACAGAACAGATTTCACAGTTGCAGTTAGCAAGTGAAAGTTCAATAAGAAATCCCACAGTTGTGGGTAACACATTCTCTCCAAATACTTCTTCTCTCATTCTTCTCTTTCTTGTTTGTTATTCTTCTTCTCTTTTGTTGTTCTTAATAATTACTTGATATTACCATCATTATCATATAGTGGGTTTGTTCATCAATCTTGAGATCAAGATTGAAGGGAATTCTTCATAGGGTGTGAGGTGAATTTCCAACATTGAGGACTCAATTGGATCCAAAAATAAAAGAAAAGAAAGAAATAAAAATAAAATAAAAATAAATAATAGAAAACTCAACAAATTATATAAATTTATTATCTTTTGATCATGTGTTATGTAATCGAAATCTCTTTGATATATTTTAATTCGTTGTCATAGAAATCACTTCTATAAAAAAAATCTCTTCCTCTCGACTTGAGTCGTATTCTTAGTGTATGTAATAATTTTAATAATTTAATTCTTCAAATTCTTGATATCATGAATAATATTATGATGCATATTAATTGTAATACTTTGTTGTACATTTGTGTTCAATTTTTTTTATTCTTCATTAAATTTGTAACCGTTTGAGAATAATAAATCTCACATTTTTTAGATACTTCATGTGCTTCTTTTTTCTCTTCTATTTCATAATAGTCATTTTACTTAACATTTTAGTTTTTGTTTAACTGATCCACTAGTATCATCTAAAATAAATGTTTTGTATATCCTCATTATCCTTCCCAAACTGGTCATTCTGCATAATAATTGCATCATTTATTTATAACTCATACTATTGTTTTAGTAACATTTCTTACATGATCATTAAATTTTATCGCAACATAAAGTATTATCTTTGTTTTTTTTTCTAACTTAACATTTTTTGCACAACAAAGTTCTAATGAGTGATTGTTGCAGCTAGAAAGCAAGTATGTTTGTATCATCTCCACATAAACTAATTGTGTTTTAAAGATAGTTCATTAGTTTCCACGACTTTAAGAATGATTTGTCAGAAGTTTAATGGTTTGTGAATACGAAAAGTAAAGTAACAGAAAGTAAAATGAACTTTGGTATTTATTATCAGTTGAGAAAACTTGTTGGGCTTACATTTCATGGACCTATTTTCATGTAATATTGTTGAACATTAATATGCAAATTTAATTAGCTTTTAGTATTATCAATTATCACTCTCATTGTAGCTCATGTGTGAGTCAACGACATATGATTAAACATATTACCTAATAGACAATCTCCCAACCTATTAACCAATACGATATCATTAAGTTTCGATAGTTTATACGGATAACAAACCTAAATTTATCTATAGACTTTAGCATATCCAATAGATGAAAAGCCTGAATCTAGTAATTACCAGTACCTTCAGCATATCAAGTCACATCCTGAAAACATGTTTTAGACAACTAATTTAAAATAAGCATTACGAATGAAGAATTCATCAATATTAAAGGTTAAGAGGAATTACGTAGAGCTTCATGATCATGATCAATACGTGAGCAATATGATGACTATAACTAACCCCAACAAAAGAGAAATTAGTTATACTTACTCATGGTAACTTTTCAATTAAGCCATAGAAGAAAGATGTTGGAAAAACATTTGGTATTAATTCCTCAGACAACACTCCTGTCTTCAATCTTCCTCTTTTTTCTTTGCTGCTGTGTTTTTGGTATATAATGGGCTTCTCTCGATCCCTACCAATAAAACTACTATTTTACACCAAGTTATCTTCAACTCAATTGACTGAACCCTTATTTAAAGGGTGTTGATATTCTATTCTCGCTAAGCGAGACTCAGAACTCGCTTAAAGCATCTAGTTTCTTTACTCTTAAGGCATGTCAACTCATTCAACAAGTGGTCTTTGTTGTCTATCCTTACTTAACGCGCCTCCAAGATCGCTAGCAACAAAATCCTTCCATGGCCATGAAGTAACCCATCCTCTAAGTCTTTGAACCACATACCTCGCTTAGTGTGCCTGATAATATGCTAAGTAAGTTTTGTTGTTTAGCCTTAAGTTACATAAGTCTAAAGTCTTCTTTTAGTGCCTTTGTTCGCTTAGCGAGGCAATGTTCTTGGCTAAGTGAGCTTTGGTGCTTGAAAGATGTTTTGTTTTCTTTCTATTTTGCATGCTTTCTTGGTACTTTTTACATGTACTTAATGAATACACTGTTAAAAAGTTCATACAAGTATTTTATCTTCTTTTTTATAATCAACTGTGAGGTTCATTGATTACTTTTGAATTAAGTTTATAAATGCTTATGTATTTTACGTATTTTTGGCACTTATCATTTACCAATGAATAATATGACTGGACTAGGATAACTAATCGGTGCCTAGAAGGAAATGATCCTCGATGGAACTAAGGGGCGCGAGCGTCCAAATGAGGCTTGGTCGACCAAAGCATACAAAGTAAGGTGGCCACCAAAAGAACCAGCTGGGCTTAAGCCAAAGACCAACAACGCGTCTCATGTAATACACGTAGTTTCTGAGGTGTCTTAAGGGAAACATCCAAGGAATGTGAGTCGTGCAAAAAAAAACATTCCTCTCATGATTAGGGGATGACTTGGTGTCATCTGCTCCCATTTCTTGAGAAGAAGGGAAAATTGTTCACTGACTTTCTAACTCAGGCTCAAACAGTCTTGTATACATGTTTTAATTCTAGAGTCTAAAAAGGGGGACAAAATTTTATCAGACACACATTGAGTGAAAAATTCTCTAATTCCTGCATGAGTAGGCTTTCCACAATTTTCATTTTTCCTAAGTACACCATAATCCGTCAAGGGGAGGTGGTCGCTCTTATTGCTCTCTAGCAAACATGTAGACCCCTCATCATCTGATTGAATTCACACCAACAAAACCTCTTACATCATACGAATACAAACTCTACCATCTATTCTACATTTAACAAGTACAATAACAAAAAAATATATAGAGAAGAGGTGTTTTTGTACTCAACATCAATATTTAAAAGCATAATCCTCTTTTTTAATAGAAGAAAATTGAACAAAAATTCCAATAAATAATATAAGAATATATTTTGTAATTTCTACTTTTATTTACAATAATAAAACAAACACCTTCTAATTATTATTTTAATTATAATATCTAATTTATATTATAAACATAATTCTAATTTAATATTTTCATTATACCTTTATGACAATAAAATAGACAATAAGTAAAACCACGCTTTTTTTTCATTTATTTATGATATATTTTTAAATTTATGCAAGTTATTCAAACACATAAACATTATGAGATGAAGAAAATAACAATTATGTTTGACTAACACTTTTAAAAAGATATTTGACTTTTTTTTTTGTTTATTTTAAAAGTACTTTCAATTATGTTTAGTTATTATAAAACAATAAAAAATATAAATAAAAGGAGAGAATAGAACTAAACAATTTGTCGTTTCAAAACTTTTTAAATGAAAAATAAAATCAAATAGTAATTTATAATTTTTAAATTTTTCAAATAAGAAAATAAAATTGTTTTGAAAAATCTAAAAAAAAAGTTAAAATCAAACGACTCATCCATTTAAAAAAGTCTTCGGAATATAAAACCAAACCATTTATCATTTCAAAAACTCTCTTAAAAAATAAAATCAAATGACTTATCATTTAAAAAATATAAAAGAAAATAGATTAATTGAAATACAAATTGTTATGCAGTATCATCCAATTAAAATGAATGAGAGTAAAGAAATATGGAAGTAGTTATTAAAATAATTTATTTTTTTTAATTTTTAATTTATAATTATATATCAAAATAATTTATTTTAATTAGATGACCGTGTAAGGTATTTACACGGACAATGTATTTTAATTAATCTAATTTTTTATATATTTTAATATATTAAATAAGTATGAAATTAATTGGAATACACCCTCCTCAATGTAAAACTACTTCACACTTTATTCAATTATTATTCAATTAGAATAAATTATTTTGACACATAATTATGAAATTAAAAATTAAATTATAATTAAATCATTTTAATAACTATTTATTCCATGTTTTTATCTTTTCACGTGTCAAAATGATTCATTCTAATTGGATGTCAGTATAAAATAATATTACACTGAACGTGGATTTCAATTAATCTCTTCTTATTAATAGAATTTAAAATTTAATTGTTAACACTCAACCATTCATCCTCATATATTTTATCACATTAAATTGTAATTTTTAAGTTAACGGCATGACACGACAGATTAATATATTTATATTATTTTACATGCATTCAATAATATTCTCTTTAATATATATTTTTTCAAAAAATCCCTTAATTAATAAAAAAAGTACTGAAAAAATAAATTTTAATTGCTATATTTTCAAAAATCTCATTGCTTTTCCTAAGAAAAAAAAAGCCTCTTTCCATTCTATCACTCTCTCACTGTACTGTAATTATTAATAATATTTCTTTATTTTAAATTCAAATAATATAATATTAAAAAATGTCAATATTTATAACCCCAGAATCACATTCTTCATCATTTTTTCTTCTACTATCATATTCTCAGCTAAATAATTTCATCAATCGTTTCACATTCACAACAAAAATCAAATCTTTTCTAGTTCCTCTTCTAGTTTTCATCTTCAAGGTACCTTTTTTATTTTCATTTTTATCATTATTTTCTCTTTTTTATTTAATATATATATTTAGTTGAATCTTTATGAACACATTAAACTTTTGATACAGTGTAGATTTTGTGTGTTTGTGTTTAATTTATTGAAGTTTTTCATTACTGGGTAATGTTCAAAGTTTCATTTTTGTGTTGTTCTTCCATTTCTTGTGATAACAAGCCCTAGAAATTTGTTGAATAAATTTTAGTTTTTTAACATGGATTTTTGTTTTTTTGTTTATGTTTTTTGTAATAGGTTGGTTTTTAGGTGAAAAGATTTGTTCTTTTTTTGATGGGTATGGTTGAAACTCAATCCAAGGAACCTTGTGGGGTTTCAAGTAGTTTAGCTGAAAATGTCATTGTTGAAGTTGATGGTTCAGAAAAGGTGGAGAATGAGAATGGTGCTGGAGAGAAAGGTTTGAGCGATGATGGTGTGGTAGTCGTTGAGGTTGTTAAGAGTAGTGTTTTTGAGACTGAGGTTTCGATTTTGAAGGAAAATGATTCTCAGGTTGTGGCTGATTCTGAGATGAATAATGGGGTGTCTTCTGTTTTGAAAATGGGAGAAAACGATGGAAGCATTGTTTCTGAGAAGTTTGATTTGGAGGGAAAAGACGAAGAGGGAAAAAAAGATGGAAGTTTTGATGGGAAAATTGAGACTATTGAGGTTCCGATTGTGGAGGTAAGTGAGAACATTGATGCTGTAGTGAATGGGAAGAAGGAGAGCGAGGAAGGAAAGAAAGATGGGAATTGTGATGAAGATGTGACTTTTGAGGTACCAATAGTTGAGACAAATGAGAACATGGACGTTGAAATTGATGATTTGGTTGATGAAAAGTATGGTTATTCTGTTGGGGATTTTGTTTGGGGTAAAATTAAGAGTCATCCTTGGTGGCCTGGTCGAGTTTATGATCTGTCTGTTGCGTCGGATTTTGCTTTGAAGCTGAAACAGAAGAATCGGCTCTTGGTGGCTTACTTTGGCGATGGAACATTTGCCTGGTGCCATCCGTCACAATTGAAGCCTTTTAAGGAAAATTTTGATGATATGGTGAAACAAAGTAGTTCCAAAAGTTTTACCAATGCTGTACAAGAAGCTGTAGATGAGCTTGGAAGGGTTCTGGCTATGAAGATGAGTCGTCCGTTTATTGCGGTTGGGGAAACTGAGTCTGAATTTGCTCCATTGTTGGCGAAGAATTCGGGAATCAAGGAAGGTGTTTTTGTGCCTGAAAGTGGCATAGAGAGGCTTTCGGCTGTTTCAATCGAACCGGCTGAATTACTTTCTCAAGTGAAACAAATTGCTGAAGCTGTTGATGTTGCCAGTGATCTTGAGCTGGAAATATTAAAGGCTCGGCTTTCGGCTTTTTATTTCTCGAGAGGAGGGTATAAGTTACCTTGTTATGAGGATCCCAAACGAGTTCTCGGACTTGAAGATAAAGATGATGTTGATAATGCAGTGGAAGCACCGTTCCAAGGGCCGTTTGAAGAGGACTTCACTACCCTGCCATTGAGCCCGAAATCGGGTGAACAGTATCGTTCTTCAGGGCTTTCAGGAAGTAGATCGAACCGGAGAAGAAAGCAGAAAAGCATTGCTGACATTATGGGGGAGGATAATGATGCTGATGCAAAAGATAAGGAGGAGGATTCAAGTGATGATGAAGTTCTTATTGCGATTAGGTCAAGGGGTAGGAAGAAGAGAAAAGATAGTGACGACGCAGTGACACCTAAACCGGTTCGTAAGAGAAAAGAGTTGATTATAGATACTAATGGAAAGTTTGAAAGAGCTGGAAAAGAAAGCAGCGAGAGCAAGAAAAACAGCGAGAATCGCAAATTGCGGCGTTCGAAAGAGAAAAAAGAAGAAGCTGTTGACAATGAAGACATCAGCGATGAGGGGAACGAAAAGGAAAATGATGAGGGGAAGTCGGAAGAACAAAACAAGAAGGGCTTTTTGTCACGAGAAAGAAAGAAAAGCAAGTACTTGTCGCCTCCTTTCACTACTTCAATTACGCTTACGAAGGGAAGAGTGAAAGCTGAAGCTAGAAGTGCTGGCCCGCTTTCTCCTCGACTTTTGAAATGTAACGGCAAGGCACTTCAAGAGTTGGAGCTTTCTGACAGCTTGAATCACCAAACACAAGAGGATGAGAAAAAGACTATTGATCCAGAGAAAGTTAAGGTTCCTTCGGCTGAAATTCTGTCCAAAATCCGCAATGCTGCTGTTAGTCCACAAATTTCTAGGGATGGCACTTCTGCTGATAAATTGGAAGACTTTATTTATGTCATGAGAAGTTCTTTGTATCATGAAGGATCCTTACACAAAGTGTACAACAAAAGTCGACGTGGAAGGAAGAGAAATAAGCCGGAATCTGAACCTGATCAATCTACTCACATAACACCGAATGAAGATTCTGAACCAGCTAAGAAAAGAAAGAAGATAGCTACAAGCATGTCAAAAGGGAAGAAGAAGGCTTGTGAAACCGAGACAAGTGACAAGAAAGAGATCGATGAAAAATCTTTGCCAGCTGTGCTTTTTGTGTCGTTTTGGCCCGGGTCCACCCTACCTTCAACATCTGATCTTGTGGCAGTGTATCAGAAGTTTGGAGCTCTGAATGAAGAAGAAACCAATATGTTCCGTATTAATTATACTGGCCGCGTTTCTTTCCTAAGAACTTGTGATGCTGAAAAGGCATTGAGCGAATCGCTAAAGAAAAACCCGTTTGAACCTTCAGAAGTAACTTTTCAGCTTCAGTATGTTTCTTCTGATGGTACCAAGTCTGGAGAACAACACATCGAAAGATCAAAAAAGAAGTCCAAACCTTCACAAGACAAGAAGAAAGACAAGACTCCGGCTCCGACTCCGACTCCGATTCCGACTCCAACTCCGATTCCGATTCCGACTCCAACTCCAACTCCGACTCGAACCACACATTCTCTGTCATATGGTAATGAGGCATCTAAACTGAACTTCATAAAAGAAAAACTTCAAGGTCTGGTTTCAATGCTCGATTCATCCGACGACAAATCTCCTGATTTCAAGACAAAGATAGAGAGCGAGGTGAAAGGTCTTTTGCAGGACGTGAACAACATGGTTGAATCTACTTCATCGTGAAAATCACATTGGTGAGTGGTAATTGTGTAGTCGATGAGTAACAATCAAGATAGGTTTATCAGAGTCTTTTTTACTATGCTATATACAATATCAGGTTATATGTTATTGATCATAAAACCATTTGAATGATTCGACTTTATAGAGATATTAATATCTTAGATTATCCAGGCTCTTATTTTGTAGCGATATATGCAAACAGCTTTTAAGGATTTGAAAAATATGCTGGGTTAATCACACTATTGTGTTACTGCTATAAAATGAAGTGCTTCTTTGGTTTCTTAAATTATCGCTGTAGTGACTTATATGTAATCTGAAACTCAGATTATTAACTTTTGTAGAAGTTGTAAAACGGGTTGGACCCATCCATTAAGCTCGCTGATACCAATTTGTCTGTCCTATCCCACCCCATTTTTTTTTACAGGTGATTATACTATAGAACTAGAATTGTAACGAGAAGAGTTATATTTTAATATCTCAAGAAAATACAGAATTTGTGGCATATTTATATGGAGCTCCGCCATAAACAATGATTTTTATTGAATTTAATTAAAATGCACTCTCAAACTTTTTATGATGATAGTGCACATTAATTTCATTTTTAGTGCATTCTAATTAAAAGCTAGATTACATTTACGGAAAAGATATTTTTTACACTGACTTTAACACTTACACGGTATGAGGATATACAAGAAGCAGGGTCAAAATAGCAAGTCTGTTACATTTAAGTTGAAGTTTTTCTTACTCTTTTTATACTAAATATTTTGCCACGTCTATATATTTAAAAGAAATTTAAAATTTTATATATTTTAAATAATTTAATTGGAGTTTTTTTTTTTGTTGGATGAGGTAATTGAAATTTTTTAAGAAGTTTAAAATTTTATACAATTTAATTGAAATTTATTCGTTTTTAATTTCTTTTGCAATGTTTGGAATTAAAAAAAAAATTAGTTTATGATTTTTGAAAATTTGAAGGATCAATTATAAAATTTTAAAATTATTAGGTATTTATTTACATTTTTTGAAACTTTTGAAAATAAATTAAAATTTTTCATAAAATATATGAATCATCTTTAAAAACTTAAAAAATTAATAATAATTAATTTAACATCCATATCATAAAAGCAATTTCAAATTCTTCATCCTAACACATTTTTATTATTTTAATACTATTTTTATATTAAATACTTTGTCACGTCGAGTTCTCTCCAAAAAAAATTGAAAATGCTCACTAAAATATTCCGTTAAGAAATATTCTCATTAAAAGATGCTCTTAAATTTATAAAAAAAATAATTAAATAAGAGATATTTTAAAATTTATTATTATTGAATATGAGAAATTATTACATTTTGGTTAATTTCATTTAAGAAAATATTAGCTATCTTTGTTTGTGTTTCATTATGGAGGTTGCAATAACATTTCATTTAAGAAAATAAGAGTTTCATTAGGCTCACATGATATATAAGCACATAACTTTGTTATGACACTTGTTTTACTTTTTTTATTTAATTTTATTTAATTTTAATAATAGAAATCCATTTCATTAAGAAGACAAAAAGAAGAAATATAATGGAGGCAATTCTCAATCCAAATCCAAACAGTCTTAAGGAGGAAATTGTGAATTTAGTTAAATGGCGAGCCATAATATTATTATCAAAGAATTATGCAGGTTTTACTTAGAGTTTGATAAGACATAAAAAAAAAAGTTTTTATCTTTTTTCAGTTCATATTAATGAAAAAATTCTGTTTGATAATTATTTTTTAACTTTTAGTTGATAATTTTGTTGTTGTAGCTTTTAGTTTTTTTCTTCAAAAGTTATTTAAAGTGGTTTTTGAGCTTATATAGTTTTTAGCTTATGACTTTTTCTTTCATTTGTATCTTCATTATTAAAAATTGATTTTTTTTTAAACTAGCTAAGTTTTGTGCACTATTTACTAATTAAAATGAGAGTTTCAAAAATTTTACCATAATAACAATGTTTTCAAAAGACAGTCGCCATATGGATTGGTGAATGAGGCAAAAGTGTTAGGGCTTGTAACCAATTCGCCAGATGGATTGGCGAATGAGGCAAATGTGTAATTGAGTCTGTAACCAATTCGCCAGACGGATTGGCAAATGAGGCAAACATGATTTTTCTTTATTTTTTTACTATGTTTTTAATTTCAATTAATGTTAAAATTAAGTTTTTTATATTTTAAATTAGTAATATTTTTTAAATATAATTATTAATAATAAATTTAAAATAATTAGGTTTAACGTTAAAATATTTATTATTTAATAAACTTTAAATAATTAGGTTTAAAGTTAAAATTAATTTTTAATTAATAAATTTTAAGTAATTAGGTTCAAATAAAAATAATCTCAATTAATAAAATAAATTTATGTTGATCTAAAAGTTGAGTGTTCATTGAAGTTTAGATTTTAAACCTAATTAAATAAATTTATGTTGATCTCAAATTAATTTATAATTTTAAAACATAAAAATTGAGTGTTCACTGAAGTTTAAATAATGTAAATTTTGTAAGGGTGTTTAAGTCATATCATATGGGATACGTACCATCTTTTATACTATAAATACGACTGCAAACACAAGTATGTTTTCACAACATTGTATCCCAAAAGACTGAAGCTTTAGTGCATTTTGAGTTGAGTGGAGCCTAAAATGTCTGCATTTCTAAACCAACGTTCATCGTCGTCATCGGCATCGGAGGAACCTTTTCCAACGTTCGATCTAATGAAAAGAAATGCCCTAGTTGTGTTTTCACCAACAAAGCCTCCGATGAAGGTGCTCCTCTGGAATACGCAGACGTTGGAGCACTTGCACAGGGAACTGAACCGCTGGCTAGAAGGAGACATTGGTCCAGGAGAAAAGATTAGGAAAGTCGAGAGGTTGGTCGAGGAGACCGGGAGAAACGGAGTGACTCGGGAATGGAGAAAAGTGGAAAATGATGTCGGTGTCCTTGTGATGATGTTGACACCCAAGAAGATAAAGCTGATGGTCGTGATATCGTAGACGCTTTGGTGCAGTGTTATGTTTAAAGTCTTTACGTTGTTGTTATGTTTGTTTAATTTATGTTGTCTTCGCGCAGTGTTCTGTTGTCATGTTGTTGTTGTGTCAGTTAACTATGGTTTTAATTGATTGAAACCTGGTATTATTCGAATGAAATTTGCTATTAATCTTATAAAAGTTGCTATTAATCGAATGGAATTTGATATTGATTTAACGGGACAAGATTACATATGAAACTATGATCTGCTGCTTAATCCTACGTTAAGACATTTTGTTCGATTGTGTCCTGGTTGCCGACACAAACTACACAATCTCACCAGCTTGTCTGCGGTATCCATCTTAGTTCGAATGCGCGTGCTGTTAGGCCGATCCTTCTTCTGTCTGCGCATCAGGTCATTATGCCAAACAATTTCGCCTTCATATTGAGGCCAATAGTCCTCCTTTGCCACCACTTGAAAGCTGCATGTGTAGACATTGCATAGACTAATGACTTGGTGAACTGCAGAAAGAAGGTTGGTTGGGTCCTGGCGCAACTTGGAACATTCTGCTATGACATGAGAGTACGACATACGAAATGTTTGAAACTTTCCACAATTACACCAGCTCTTATCCAATTCAACATGGTAACATCCCCTAGGCCTTCCTTCATTGTGATCCATAGACTCGGCAACACTGAACCAACCAGTTGTACGGTCAAAGATTGTGACCACGTGTGTGTTGGCTTTGGCAGCTTCCTCTTTCATGAATTTCATTGAAGTATCGCTATACAGCTGACCCGATTGTAATACCGAACACCACTTCGTACGTCTGCTATCAAAGATTGATCCTAGCCTAAAATAGGTTGCCTTTACCAAGGCAGTTATTGGGAGGTTTCGGATTCCCTTTAAAACAGAATTCATTGATTTGACGAGGTTAGTTGTCATGTGGCCCCATCTCACCCCATTGTCGTATGCCCGCATCCATTTCTCCCGATCAATATTATCAATCCATCGTAATGCAGCTGCGTTTGTCAGTCTGATCTCGTCACGGTAGTATTTGAATGTGGGTTCAGTTAGTGCATATCCTGCGTTCACAACCTTCTTCCGTAGGGTCTTGTCTTTGATTTCACGCATGAAATTTTGGGCAATGTGCCTTATGCAAAAGACGTGGGTAGATGGAGGATCCTGCCAACTGTTGTCATGGTTGTTGTATGCACTCTCTATTGATGGGTGTCGATCAGAGATCAAATATAAGTTAGGTTGTGGAGACACGTATGAGCGGAGGTTTTTTAAGAAAAAACTCCAACCCCCAGCAGTCTCCCCTTCCACTATAGCGAAGGCTATTGGAAAAATATTGTTGTTTCCGTCCTGTGCCACAGCCATGAGAAGTGTGCCCTTGTATTTCCCATATAACCATGTTCCGTCAATTTGAATTATAGGCTTACAATATGCAAACCCTTTGATGCATGGTTCGAACGCCCAAAAGACTCTGTGAAAAATTCCATTTCCAGCAACGCAAGTCCCGTCTGCTGTACACGCAGGCTGTGTCTCCAAAATCGCAATAGTTCCCGGAGAGTAGTGTTTAAGAGCCACCAGGAATTTCGGAAGTTCCTTGTACGACTCCTTCCAATTCCCAAACACCCTTTCAACCGCTTTAGTTCTGGAAATCCAGACTTTTCGGTACGAAGGAGTGTAATTGTACATTTGAACCATATGTGCAATTATGGTACTGATCTTCAAAGACGGGTTGTCGCTAATGAGTGACATAATCTCATCGCAAATTAATTGAGAGCTGAGTTTACGATGGTCTTGCATCAGATTAGAGATTATACAACTGTGGGACGGACCTATGGACCCTATCTTCCAGGAATCGCTTCTCTTTCTGAAAGACACTGTTAATCGGAAGGGGCACTCCTCATTATGATAATAGATCGTATATCGCGTCGGATTTGTCCGATCGACTCTATAATCGGCAGACAACCCCATGTGAAACTGTTTGATTGCCCGGACACA